TCGGACCTGTCCACTTCCAAGCCTGCCAAAATCTCCAATATCTCCTCGTTGTCTATATAAACCTGCTCAAGAATCTCATAGTTTATGTTCCCAAATTCAATGCCTACATTCTCCTTCTCCTGAGTTAAGGGAGATATGAAGTACTCATCTAACATTATCAATGTCCTCTGGCTCCACACACAAATTTCTCCCTTGGTCCCTAATGAGCTCTACTGTTTGTCTGGTTATTCTCTTCCCCCTAATATATTTGTAAAATATCATGGTGTTCTCCCCAGCCTTGCCCACCAGTGTTTTTTCAAGTCTCTCTTTTCTCTCCTAATTATTTTCTTAAAATCCTCCCATACATTCCATGTTCCATTAGAGTCTCAGTTGATTTGCTCCCTCTTTTCCTTTTCATCCAGTTCTAAATATTCCTAGACATCCATGGTTCTCCGGGCTTGTTGCTCCTACATTTCACCCTAAAGGGAAGATGTTGAGCTTGTACTCTCCCCAGTTCCTTTTTGAACACCTCCCACTGTTCTGCTGTGGATTTACCCTCACATAGCTGTTCCTAGACTACTGGGAATCCTGTGAGATTCTATCTTATTTTAATAAAACCTACCTTCCCCCAAATCAAAACCTTTTGTTTCTTTGGAAAGGCCATCTTTTTTCTCTTTTCCAGATCAAATTTAAAACTTACTGTGTGTGGTCACTATGACTAAAATGCTCTCCCACTGCTACCTCAAATACCTGCCTGGTTTCACTCCCCAGACTCAGGACCAGCACTGCACCATCCCTTGCAGGAGCATCTATATGTTGATATAAAAAGCTCTCCTGAACGCATTGCAAGAAATCTGTCCCCTCTAAACTATACTATGTTTACCTCAAATAGAGGATCAAACATGTTATCAAATTTCAGAGAAATTTAAGAATAATAAGGCAGTAATAGTAGAAGACTTTAACTACCAAGATATTAACTGGGATACTTTCCATGTGCAAGGTAGAGAGGGAGCAAAATTCTTAAATTGCCTTCAGGAGAATTTATTTAGCCATTTCCTGGTACGTCCAACAAGGAAGGAGGCAGTTCTGGACCTAATATTTGGAAATTATCCATAGGGGAGCATGCTGGAGATTGTGACTGTAATGCATTAGATTTAGGATAGTTATAGAGAAAGATAGAATGAGCCAGGAATAGAAGTTCTAAGATTTGGCCCAAGTGGACGGAGAATAAAATACAGTGCCAGAACCGTGGCAGGCATTCAAGGAGGAAAATAACGAGCATCCAGGGCAAATATGTTCCTTTAAAAACAAATGGACAAATAGTTCTTTAAAGGACCAAGACAGGAGAATCCTGGCTACAAGGGACATAAAGGTAGGGATAAAGAATAAGAGAGATTATGACACATACTGAGGGCTCAAAAATCACAATAAGAAGTGCAGGGGAGAAATGAAAAAGCAAATTAGGAAAGCTGAGACAGAGCATGGGGAACCATTGACAGGTAGGGAAAACAAAAACACATTTTTTAAAAAAATATGTAAAGAGCAAGAAGAACAGTTAGTGAGAAAGTACAGCCTATTAGGGAAAGTACAGGCAATCTGTGTTTGGACTCAAAAGATGTGCGCACAGTCCTCAATGAATACGTTGCATCACTTCTCACAATAGAAAAGGATGTCACTGATATAGACGTCAGGATGAGAGACTATGAAATATTACAAGTAATTAACAGAGAATCAGAGAGGAAGTACTGGCAGGTTAACAGACAAAAATGGACAAGTCTGTTATGAGATTTATCCCACATTATGGAGGGAGGCAAGGGAGAAGATATCTCGGGCCTTCACAATAATTTTTAAACCCTTTGAGGCTGTGGTGAGGTGCCTGAGGACTGGAGGATTGCTAACAATGTCCCACTATTAAAAAAGGGGGAAGAAACAGATAGACCAAGAAAAATCACAGGCCCTCTAGACAGATACAATAATCAGGGATAATCAGTATGGATTTCTTAAGGGAAAGTCATGTTTGACAAATTTGATCAATTCTTTGAGGAGGTAGCCAGGGTGTTGATGAAGGCAATGCAGTTGATGCGGTCTGCATAGACTTGTCCAAGTTTTTTCTTTTAAACATCAGGTTCCCCCATGACAGATAGGTTAAGAAAGTCAGACCCCATTGAATCCAAGGCATGCTGGATCCACAAGGGACAGAGACAGGAAGCAAAGGGTGATGATAAAGGGATGTTTCTATCATTGGAAGTCTATTTTCAGTAGGGTTTTGCATGGCTTAGTGCTGAGGGCCTTGCTGCTTTTCAGTATACATTAATGATTTATACTTAAATTTAGGGGGTAAGATCAAGAAATTTGGAGATGACATAAAAATTGTTAGGGTGGGAAACAGTGAGGAGAACAGCTTTAAACTGAAGGAAGTTATCACCTCACTGATCAGGTGGTCAGAACAACAGTTAATGGAATTTAACCCAAAAAAGTGTGAAGTAATGCATTTGCAGACAGCTAATGAGGCATGGGATGACAATATAGAATATAGAACCAGGAAATGTTGTGAAGATCAAGGGACCTTGGTGTGGGTAGCACATGATTTTGATGTGAGCAGTGTAGGTTAATAAGGTGACATAGGGGATAACTGACTTTATTAATCAAGCCATAGGATACAATAACAAGGAGATTATGCTGGAACTATATAAAATGCTGGTTAGGCCACAACTGGAATACTAAATGCAGTGCCAGTTACATTATTGGGAAGATTTCCTCACACAAAGGAGATTTACCAGGATGTTGCCTGAGCTGAATGAGCAATGATTGGATAAGGCTGTGGTTGAGAAGAGACCTTATTGAAGTGTATAAGATTATGAGGGACATTGACAGGCTGGATAAGAAAGGCATATTTTCCAGTAGAACTAGTGTTAATAATCAGGGCGCATAAATTTAAGAGGCAGAAGACTAAGAGAGGAAGAGAGAATAGTTTTCATTCAAAGGATGGTGGAAGTTTGGAAGTCATTGTCTTAAGGGGGGGCGTTGAAAGGAGATTTAGGTATAGAGGCAAGGTACATAGCTGAAGTCTTAAATGAATATTTTACATCTGTCTCCGCCAAGAAAGAAGTTAATTCCGGGTTTAAGAAGGGTTTTAAATGGATGAGGAGGAGGCATTTGATAGGTTGTCTGAATTTAAAGTCAATAAGGGATCAGGGCAAAATGAAATACATTCAAGGATAATAGGGGAAATGATAAAGAATGAAAATTGCAGAAGAACTAATCATAATTTTTTAGTCTTCGTTGGACTCCGGTGGTGCAACAGGCTGAAGAATTAGAGATTTTACCTTTGTTTAATGAAGATGTAAAGATAAGCCCAGCAATTACAGGTCTGTCAGGTTAATTCTGGCAGTGGAGAAGCCTCTAGGAATAATTAGGGACAAAATTCATGTGCATTAATTAAGCAAAGATACATGTTACCTAAGACTAAATTGTCTTTAATTAACTTGGAGTTTTTTGGTGAGGTAAGAGTGAAAGTTGAAGAGAATATTGACATGATGCATAATTATTTCTAAAACATATTTAATTCAGGGCCACACAACAGACTTGCAAGCAAATTTACAACTCAGAATAAATGAAAGATATACAGCATGGGCACTTATTGAGCAGAGGATGATTATGACAGAATTTAAAAAAAGAGGGGAT